TTTTTTTTTTACTATATAATATTCTTGTTTTGCTGAGAAGTTTATTTCTTTTCTTGGTTTGTATCTGTTATATTTGTATCCTTTTTTATTTGAAAAAGTTTCTTTTTTCTTGTCTCCAAATTGTTTTCTAAATTGTTGTCCTACTTGTTCTTCTTTGTAAGAGTTATATACTTGTTCTAATTTGTTCAAAAAGTCTTCGTAAGAAGTTGGTCTTCCTAGTAATTGTATTGCTGCTCTATAATCTTCTGCGGGGTGTCTTCCACTTGGTAATCTTTTGTATATTTGGAATGCTCCTCCTTGTATCCATGTTGTTCCATTGTTTGCTTCTTCTCAAAGTCTATAATATTCTTGTTTTAAGTCTAAGTATTCTCCTTCATTTATATATTTAAGGTCAAATATGAATTTAGCAAATATTTCTTGTGCTGTTTCTTGGTGTTTGTGTATAATATATTTTTCATATATCTATAATATTATGGATACTTGTTTGGATAGTGCTTCTCCTTATACTGTTGCATTAGGCCAGTCAGTTAGTAAGTTTCTTTGTCCTATTTTGGGTACATTATCTCCTCTATTTGTTACTACTCTAGTTGACATAGAGTGTTGTTGGATAATATTTTGTTATTTTGAGTGAGTTTGGATCACCTTCTCGTATATGTGATTTGGTACAGGTATCTGGTGGTGTTATTGTTCCATTATGCCAATCACTTGAAAATATACAGTTAAAGTGTTCTTCTATTTCAAAATATGCATCTTGGTGTATTTTGTTGAATATTTGTAGTACTAGTTTTCACTATAGTTGTTTCATATATATAACATTAAATTGTCCTCTATGCAGGTCGTCTGCTGTTGGGTTGTCTCATATCATGTTCATTATATCTATTCATTGGTATCCTAAATATTTGCTTCTAGTAAAGAATCCTGTTGTTAGTAATTCTTTTGATATATGACTTTGTATGTTTCTTATAAATATGCCATAAAACTTTGGCCAGTTTTGTTCATTAAATTTTATTCCTTTCATTACTTTGTTGAAGTCTATCTTTTCTAAGGATAGAAATTCTGTTGTTGGTCTAGTATATGCCATTTTATAATATTACTTTTTCTGGTAACATTATTGGTTTTACGTTTGCATATGCACACAATCTAATATAGTCTTTTAGTTGTAAATCATCTGATTGTAGTAATAATAATAATGCTATTTGATCTTTTACTATGTGACAGGATATTATTGCTCCTGTTTTCTGATTTTCAGTTATTGATCCGTTATGTACTCGTATTAATGCTTGCTGGATTAATTGTTCATTTCTGTCAAATTTATTTTTGTCAAGGTATATTTCGTTATTGATTTGAATGAATATTGGTGAGTTCAAGTTTCTTTGAAAAGTTTTGTAATATTTTAAATATTTGTTGTAGTGATAGTTGTCAAAAGGGTAATATCAGTTTAATACTTCTGATAATTTATCCATTTGCTCATTTAAGTTAATATTTTAGTTGTGTTGTTTCTATTGCTTTTTCTAGGTTTAAGTTGAATTGTTAGGCTATTTCTTGTAGTTTTTCAGTTGGTTCGTTAGATCATAATGCACAGATTAAGTAAGTTGCTTTTTCTAAATTTGTTAATATTATCAGTTTTTTGTTATTCAGTAGTAATTTGATTCTTGAGTAAAATAATAATTCAGTTGGGTTTAGAGGTTGGTATTTTGATTGTTTTTTTGGTTCTGAATCTCTGAGTAAGTCTTCTAAGAGTTTGTCAAAATCTATTGTATATTTTTCATCTATGAATTCAATTGGTTCCTTTTTCTTCTTTTGGTTGTTCTGTTTTGACATTTATCGTTTTGATAATGTACTATGATTACATGAGTAATTAGGTATAAGATGTAGTATTTTATTGATGTTTCAAATAGTCGTATTAGGTCTGGGTTGAGTGTAATGAGTATTAATGATTTTTCTGTTATCCACTGTATAGTTGCATTGTAGTTTATTTCTGGTATGAAGTCTTGGATTGTTGTATCCACTTTTAAGTAGTTTTGGGTTGTTGTAGTCTAAAGGTTTGTTTTTGTAATATGAGTAGTATTCTATTATACAGTAGTAGTGTATATTCTTGTACTATGTAGTCATTATATACTTCTTGAGTAATAATATATATTGATTTAGTTATTACGAATAGTATTGTTGTTACTATAAATAGTAAGTTTATTGTAATGTATAAGAATAATAATATAAGTGTGTCTGGTTGTAAGAGTATTCTAATTGCTGCTTTCTTAATGAGTTGCATTAAATAGTATTTGTTAAGGTTGGTGCTGCTTCTTTGTGTCATTGTTCAATAATGCGTTTGTTTTCTAATATTTTTCTTCAATAGTTGGTGCAAGTATATATTAGTACTATTAGTATTATTAGTATTACAGTTACTATATCTTGGGTTATGACGTTGAAGTCAGTAAAGTAGTTTGGTGTTATTTGTTGAGTATATGTTGCAGTTGAAATTGTTGTTTGGATATTTGTTACTGTTATATTTTGGGTTATAGTTGGTGTTGGTATTTGTATAGTTGAGAATATAACTTGTCTTTTTTCAATATCTTGGATTGAAAAGTTGTTCATGTAATTTGTTCGTTTTGCTTGGTATTAGGTTTAGGTATCTCAAAAGATGAGACTTTTGAGTTTTTTTTAGGTTTTACTAGTATATAAGAGTGTTGTTCGTTTAGATATTTAAGGTTTGACATTGAGTTGTTTTTTAAGTATATTAGGCTTCTATTATTAAAATATCATTAGTTTTGGTTCGGTATTGAGTCTCTGAATCTTTTAAAAGCTTCTTGGTAATTTGGGTTTACCAGAGGTTGGTTAAGTTCTTGCCAGGTTGGTAAGTATTGGGCATTAAAATATATGTTGTGGTCTGATGGTTGGTATGCCTTTCTCTTTTTCTTTTAGAGTTTAAGAAGTTAAATATTTATTGTAAGGGTAAGATAGTTGGTTGACCAGTAGTTCTTTTTCTTGAAAAGTTTTTCTTATAAGTTATAATTCCAATAGTGGTTATTCCGATTATTAGTATTGATACAATAACAATTGTGATAGTGAGTATTGTAGCATCACTAATAGTTTCTGAAGTATTTTGCATTTAGAGTATTAAGCAGTTTTGTCTTTCTTGAGCATAATATGCAGCTTGAGGGTTCTTTTTATAGTTTCTTTTTTGTTTGTGCTGTAGTACACAGCAGCATAATAGTATAGTTGTTATATTAAGAAGTATAAGTATTAATATAATAAAAAATAGTGTTAGCAATTGTTAGTTGTTGAATATGTTTGAATCGCAATTATTTCTAAGAGTTGTTCTAGTAGGTGATGATTGTGGTATTGTAGTAATTGTAGTTGCATTATTATTTATTTGTCAAGAAGGTTCATTAAGTTTTTAGATTGTTTTAGACAATCGTGATATTGTTGTTGAGGAGTTTTGTCTATTTTTTTTTGAAGAATATAATTTAATCGTAATTTCGTTCAAAAGTTTTTCCAGTACTTAAGTCCAGGTATTATGTTACAGTTGATAAATCTGAATTATAATCTGTGGCTGTTTGCATTCGGTATTGTTTGCTTGGGTCTGATTTGTTGAATCCTGTGCCTCATACTAATGGGCATTTTCTATTTTTATTTTTCTTTTTGTTTTCTTTGTCTTTTAATTGTTGAGCAAGATTGTTTAAATTATTTTGTGACAGGGGTGCAATAGGTTGCTGAAAATTATCGTTTGGTAATCCTTGAGCAGTTTGTATTTCAACAGGGGTAAATCTAATTGTTGTTTATATTGTTGTTTTCGGTGTCGTTGTTTTCTATAGCAAATTGTGAGTATTGTTACAATTGCAGTAAGTATTGCTAATATTGTTTCTAATATTTCTAATAATGTAACTAGGGTTTGATTATTATTATTTGTTGATTCTGTGCTTGGT